AGAATCCCCAGTGAGGGGCTGGGGGCGTGGTCAGGGTGGAGCCCTGAATTCCCCAGTGAGGAGATATGACAATGAGGTTGTTACCAGCCGCCATCCCTGGCCTCCTGTCTCCAGAACTTTCTCAGTTCCCTAAACTGCACCATAGTCTGCCAGACCCACAACGATATTCCCACGTGTGACCCACAGAGAAAGTTACTAACCCGCCAGTGCACACTCCTTTCTCGATCTCCTTTTTTGTTTGCTTTGTTTTGCTTTTGTTTTCAGTCCTGGCTGTCCTGGAACTCACCTCTGCCTCCCGAGTGCTGGGACTAAAGGCTTGTGCCACCATCACCTGGGAAAGGGGGTGAACGCTGGTCAGCCAGTGCCAGAGACTCCTTTCTTGTAAAAAAAAAAAAATTACATTAGTTAATTTATCGTGTGTCCACGCAGCTCTGGCCTGTGCGTGGAGGTCAGATGCCAACTGGCAGGAGCTGTTTCTCTCCTTCAGGGTGGGAGTCCATCCTTTTGACCTCGTATTCTTTTACATAAAGACTTGGCAAGAGGGTACATAGCTTACACTTTAGGCATTCTGTTAGTTATTCTTCCGTGTCTGTTGTAAAACACTCTGTCCAAAAGGAACTTAGTGGAGAAAGGATTTGTCTTACAGCCCATCGTGAATGGAATTAAGACAGGAACTGAGGCAAGAACTCGGAGGAACACTGCCCAGCCCGGGATGGCCTGCTTGGGGGGGGGGGGTGCTGCCCACAGTGGACTGGGGCCGCCTCTATCAATTAAGACCCCAGACCAACCATCTCCCACAGACATGGCCACAGGCCAATCTGACCTGGGACATTCCTCCACCGAGACTCCCCTAGGCTCCCTTAGGTGACTCTTTGTGGAGCTGATGGCTTGAGTTCTGTGGAACAGGATAACAAAATGTCAGCTGTTGGAAAGAATGGGTTAAAAAACTACTTCATGGGGAAACATTTTTAGCAACTTTAGTCCAGTGTGGTGGCGCACGCCTTTAATCTCAGCTCTTAGGAGGCAGAGGCAGATGGATCTGTGAGTTCCAGGCCAGCCTGGTCTACAGAACAAGTTCCAGGATGGACAGGGCTACACAGAGAGACCTGGTCTCAGAACAGGTCTCAGACAAAAACAAACAAACAAACAAACAAAACTTTTAAATGTCAATTGGCGGGGGGAGGGGGAAGCATTTTTGAAAGTGAAGCTCTGGGTGTGTTAGCGGGTGCTGGTGAGCAGCATCCTGGGGAACCTGAGCCAGGAGGACCAGGAGTTCAGGGCCATCCAGGGACACATAGCGTGACCTGTCAATCAATCAGTCAATCAATCTTTTTGAAGAGTGCCCCTGTGAACACACTGCTCGGTGAGCTTGCTCCTGCACAGTGTGGCCACTGGCTGAGGTAAAGGCACAGGGGAATGCAAGGATGGTTCGAGTTCAAATCCCAAAGTCTGAGTCAGGCAAGGAGGAAGGAACACCTCAGCATCCAAGGAGGCTGAAATAGGGAGATCATTATGGGTTTAAGTCTAGCCTGAGCTACAGGAGACCCTATCTCAAAAATCCAAAAGATAAGGTGTAGCATGAATCTTTTTTTTTTTTGAATGCCGAATGCCATTTATTGAAGGAGGGAGGAGACCTTAAATACAGGCTTACAGCACAATGGGAGAACCCCAGAGTGCAGAAGTTTGCTACTGAACTGATGTTTTACAATCTTGCATCTAAGCTGTTAACGCCCAGTATGCAGGATACACAGACAAGGAACTTCCCTTAAGCATTCAGAAGGGTGGAACCCGGCAGGGAATTATCATAGGGAGGACATCTGGTCAAGGTCAGCAAGCAAGGCAATAGCTACCGAAAACAGAGGGCCAGGGCCCTGCAGGTCCCCCTTTTACTACAAAATGAGCTTCTGATTTAGGTTGCATCAGCAGGTCACCTTACCCGTCATGGAGATGCCTGCCCAGGCCACACAGGTGCTCTGTCTTAGGTTGGTGAGTGCCCTCCAGGCATTACCCATCTCTGAATACTCATTATCATACCGGCTCAATCGTGTGTGAGCTGCATAGTTAATTGCTGCCAAAGATCTCAAAGTGGCACTGGGCTTGCAATCTGTGTGTTCAATACAGAAAAGACCAACAGAGGTCCTATCCCACCCATAGCCAGTAGGCTAAAGGCACCTGAGCCATTCCCTTCCTTATCGAGCCATACTGTACGTTGGAGTCCTTGTAAGATAGTATCCCAAAAGCAAATGGAACTTGAGTTTATAAATTTATAATTTTCAAAGCCAATCGAGATGTATATAACTATTGAATTAAATTTATCATGCCCAATAGAATGAAAGACTAACTAACTGTGGTAGCTACTTTTGCTGCCAGGGTCTCCACTGTGCTAGCTGTAGTAACCAATTATGAAATGGCAATCCCAGAAACAGTAGCAGCGGTGTGTGCCATTGCTATAACAGCAAGAGCAGCAGCAGCAATGTCAGATTCTCTTCTGGATTGTGTGGACATCCACTGGCATGGATACAACTCCAGTAACACCAAGGCCTGTTTTTCTTGATCCCGGCACGACTTAAGCTGGCAGCTCTGTAAAAGAACAACTGAGAACCATAAAGAAAAAACAGGCAGCTCACAAGGAGCAGAACTAATGGCCTCATAATGGCTACATTCAGGCTCATAAATTTTAAGGTATCTTCAAAGGGGGCTAAATGAACTTCAGGAGGCCAAAAAATGTTACACAGAGCCACTCCTGAAAAGTAGGTACTACACCAGCTTGAAGAGGATTGTGAAAATGAAAAGGCTTAGCTGGCATGCTACTGTGAACAAATGAAGGTCAGTGACCTTCAGGGCTAACCTTAATCTCCAAGGTGTCTGGGTGACACGTTCTCAAACATACTTGAAAAAGTAGTTACCATACATTACCTTCTGGAGAATCCAACCGCATGGCTACAGTTCCTAGGCTTACGTTAATGTTTGCCAAGGCTGGCCATATTGGGCTCTCAATCCCCATTGGCATCAGAAGGGGAGAGTTTTTCATGAAGGCCCGATAGGTCTCTGCCATGTTGGGCTTCAGCAGCAGCCACAGGGCGCACACAGCATTCAGGAACCAAAAAGGAACCTCATTGTCCTGCGGAAAGACACAAACAGATCCCCGGGCCCACACCAACACCAGATTGAGCCCCTCCAAGTGCCAGTAGAAAGATCTTTCCATCACACCAGAGGATGATTTGCAACAGGAGCCCTCCAGTGCTTATCTGCAGCAGATACTCCAGCAGAGTCCACTGATTAAAAATTTAAAATATAGAAAACAAGGGAAAGAATAGAATGTGGAGAGGAATGATGAGTCCCTAGTTCCCCCTTTTTACTTTAGTAAAATATGTTTGTTTGGTTTTTTTTTTTAAATAGTTCAAATTTTTCTTTTCTTTTTTCTTTTTTAATTAATTTATTTTTCTATTATCAGCTAGATACAGTATAAATTCCTATCTTAATAGTGAAATGTTTCAGTGAGGCTTGCTCAGTAACTGAGTAAAACCAAAACTTATTATTAGCCACAGTCGTCCTAGGGTCCCCCCGCCCCATGCTATATATATAGCCTCCCTGGTTCTGTGGGTTGCAGTCTGATTGTTCTTTGCTTTATATCTAGAATCCACTTATGAGTGAGTACATACCATGTTTGTCCTTCTGGGTTTGTAGCACGAACAATCTTAAATGGTCTTATTAATAAGAACAAACGCGGTGCCCCCTCTTTTTTTTTCCCTAGAAGAGAAAATCTTCACAGCAATTTCTCCCCGCCATTTGTCTTGCCAAACTTTTCCAAACTGACCTTTGCCGATGCTTTCTTGTAACACCATGGTCCTGGCAATTCTTCTCTGAACCAGCAGCAGTAAACCCTTCGTCCCAGGTAGCAGCATCACCGCAGTCACCAACACGATGAGAAGGAGCCAGCAACTCGGAGCAGCAGCCGCTGCCTCCATGGTCCCACTGCCACCGTTTGTGGCTGGGCCCAGGCCGAAGCTTCACCTTAGCAAGCCTCCTAGGCCAGCCTCAAACTCAGGATCCTCCTGCCTCTGCCTCCTTCAGTAAATCCTACCGGTGTGCACCACTACAACTGGCTGAGGGTAGCTTGGGTCTGAGGCTGGGGCCCGCAAGGCCACAGGCAAGTAGCTTTTTCGAAAATTCGTACCACGAACGTTGGGTGCCAGATGTGCATGAATCTTAAAGGTCTTATTAATAACAACAAACCTGGAGCCAGGTATTGGGGTGAATGCTGGAAGATCAGAGAAGCAGAACAAGCCACAGCTAACCTCACCTGGCCATTTCCTCAGCTGATCCGTTTCCTCAGACTGGAAGCCTCTGAGTCCTCATCCAAATGGATCTCAGCTGAACCGCTTCTCGAAAGTCTAAAATGCTCAACCAGGCTTAGTTCCTGGTCCTCACGCCTTATATACCTTTCTGCCATCACTTCCTGGAATTAAAGGCGTGAGTCACCATGCCTGGTTGTTTCTAGTGTGGCTCTGAACTCACAGAGATCTGGATGGATCTCTGCCTCCAGAAGGCTATGATTAAAGGTGTGAATGCCACCTTGTTCTGGCCTCTATGTCTATCCAGTGGCTGTTCTGTTCTCTGACCCCAGATGAGTTTATTAGGGTGCACGATATATTGGGGGACACAATACCACCACAATAAGGGCTGGGGAGTTGGCTCAGTCTGTAAAGGGCTTGCCGCCCTGGAATGAGGGCCTGAGTTCAAATCCCTGGTGCTCACATAAAAATGCCTGTATATGTACATGCCTCAAATGCCAGGGCTGGTAAGTGGAGACAGGAGGATCACTGGGACCTCAGTCAACTGGACCATCTAGACTCTGTCTCTAAATGTAAGGCAGAGAACAAGTGAGGAAGATGTCTGACATTGACCTATGCAGCTCCCAACAACCATGCCGAAAGGGCTCTTTGGTCCCCTAGTGAGCAGGCACCCAAAGATGGCATCCCATCATCCTTCAGACCTGGGTTGTCTGTGGACTGGGGCACTAACTGGAAAATGGAGGGAAGTTTGGGCAGGGGAATGGCAGGTCTGGGTCATTGGTGACTGAAGTGTACATGGCTGGATGCATGCCTGTCTCTGAGCCTCAGTTTCCCCTTTTGTAAGATAGATGGTTCCAGGGCTCCATGGCGTCTCTGAGAGCAGAGGTCCCCAAAAGTGAAATTCATCTACTGGATGAATATGGGACTTCATATACAGCCTCAAACTTGTAGTCTTATCCCTTCCAGCCAGAATCCTAAAATCAAAACTCCAGAAACTTCTGTGAGATTTTCTACCAGCTCTGTATTCCCTGAAATTGAAGAAAAGCGTGGAATCCAGGTGGGACCAGACAGCAACCTTTCCTGGGGTCTCCAGCCCAAGTAGAGGGTTATTTCTCCCAGCATTAAGGAGGATGAGGACTTGAGGGGTCAGGTCATGGGTCTCTGGTTCTTTGCTTCTATCAAGATTTAGCTGGGCATGGTGGCACATGCCTGTCACCTCAGCACTCAGGAGATGGAGGCCAGAGAGGCCAGGCATTAACGTCATCCTTGGCTACTCAGCTATCAGAGGCCAGCCTGGGCTACACAGGACACTTCTGAAAATTTAAATGCCCGTGAATAATAACATTCACACCTCCTGTTCCTATTATTTCCCTCTCTTCCCAGGTCCCCCAGGCCATGAATGCGCCCCGAGCAGCCAAGGCACAGTGGCCCTGGCGTCCATGCCTCACCGGCCTGCTGCTGCAGCTGCTGTTGGCTCTCTGCTTCTTCTCCTACATCCGAGTGTCCTACGACCAACCCGGCCCCCCAGCTCCTGGTAGCTCCCCAGAACCAGCCTCCACCCCAGCTACCCCTGTCCCCAGGCCCCTCCTCATCTTACTGTGGACATGGCCCTTCCACAAGCCGGTGGCTCTGCCCCCCTGCTCCAAGATGCTCCCAGGCACGGCCGACTGCCGGCTGACCACCAAACGGAGCCTGTACCCCCAGGCAGATGCCGTCATCATCCACCACCGCGAAGTCAGCGCCAATCCCAGGTCACTGCTGCCACCTCAGCCGAGGCCCCCAGGCCAGCGCTGGGTGTGGTTCAGCATGGAGTCGCCCAGCCACTGTAGCCGGCTGTCAGAGCTGGATGGTCACTTCAACCTCACCATGTCCTATCGCACTGACTCTGACATCTTCACGCCCTATGGCTGGCTGGAGCCGTGGACAGACCCTCCGGTCCAGACCCAGGTCAACCTGTCTGCCAAGACTGACCTGGTGGCCTGGGCTGTGTCCAACTGGAACTCCAAGTCGGCTCGGGTGCTGTACTACCTGAGCCTTCAGAGTCACCTCCATGTGGACGTGTATGGCCGAGGTCACATGCCGCTTCCCCAACGGGACATGATGCAGACACTGGCCAGGTACAAGTTTTACCTGGCATTCGAAAACTCCCTCCATCCAGACTACATCACAGAGAAGCTGTGGAGGAATGCTCTGGAAGCCTGGGCTGTGCCTGTGGTCCTGGGGCCCAGCAGGAAGAACTATGAACGCTTCCTGCCCCCTGACGCCTTCATCCACGTGGATGATTTCCAGAGCCCAAAGGACCTGGCTCAGTACCTGCAGGAGCTAGACAGGGATAGCCTGAGCTACCAGCGTTACTTCCGCTGGAGGAAGACGCTCAGGCCTCGCTTGTGGAGCATGTCCCTTGCCTTCTGCCAGGCATGCAGGCAGCTGCAGTGGGACCAGAGGTACCAGACGGTCTCCAGTGTGGCCTCTTGGTTCCAGTGAGGTGGCTGGCCAGGGTCCTTCGGTCAGTGTCCTACCCAAAGTCATCATCTGTAGCCACTGGGTGACAGACACCTTGTGTTGGCTAGTTTTATTTCAACTTGATACAAGCTAGAGTCATGTGGGTTGATGGAGCTACAATTGAGACAATGTCCCCATCTAATTGGCCTGTGGGGTGTTTTCTCAATTAGTGATTGATGGGGAGGCCCAGCCCAGTGTGGGTGGGGCCATCCCTGGGCTACTGGTCCTGGGTTCTATAAGAAAGTAGGTTGAACAAGCCATGAGGAGCAAGCCAGTAAGCAGCACCCTCCACGGCCTCTGCATCAGCTCCTGCCCCCAGGTTCCTGCCCTGACTCCCTGGATGATGGACTGAGCCATGTAAGCCGAAATAAAACCATTCCTACAAAGTTACTTACTCATCTCGGCATTTTATCACAGGTATAGAAACCCTAAGACATACCTGCTTTACCTGCTCCCAGCAAACTTTGATCTGGGCCACTGACTCCCCAGGGTCCCCCCCACCCCCACGCCCACTGGTGGCCGGCTGGTCTGCCTCAGTTGCTTTTGGTCCTTATCACACAACTATCCCTGCGGATGTGGGAGTGTGATACTCTCACCAATGTCCAGATGGGATCATTGGAATAACTGACGTGAGACTTCATTCTATGAATCTCATGCAGGGTGACTGTGTCCTTCCCCTGGGGATGCTCAGACAATGTCTGTGGTTGTCACTCTGGAAGAAAGGGGACTGAGGACCATCCCAGGACACTGTCAACACTATTACACCGTGTAAAATGTCATGCATGGCAGCGTATGACTGAAACCCCTCTGCTGGCAGCTGGAGACAAGGGGGCCCCAGGGCCTGCTGTGTAGCCAGTCTTGCTGCTGTGTAGGCAGCTGATGGTCAGTGAGCGACGACCCTGCTTCAAAACACATGGTGGAGAGCGACCTCAGATTACCGCCAGCCGCCAGCCTCTGCCGGTGCTCCCCATGTCTACATACATGCATAGGACCGGTCAGCCAGCCGCCAGCTCTGCCACCTCTCAGAGCTGATGTCCCCTGGCGTGAATTCCAGGAAGACGAGTAGGTCAGGCTGAGATGGCATGGGTGAGGGAAAGGCTGCCTGGCACACTAGGTGGGCGACTTGGCCAAGGTGTTTGGGCAGGGAAGCAGGTGAGTGCTGAAGGCCAGGCCGATGTCCACCTCGGGGAGGAAGTCACAGGACTGTGGAGAACTGGGTGCCCAACTGGGAGTGGAGGTGCAATGTCTGCTGTCAGCACCTGGGAGGTCGAGGCAGGACATGGGGACTTCAAGGCCTCCCTCCTCTACATAGAGAGTTGGAGGCCATCCCGGGTTTCTGGAGACCATCGGCAATAACAACACAGAGTGGGAGTGGGTGTGATCGGAAGCCTCGGCCTCCTGGGTGGCCCTGTGTGGCTCCAGAGCCCGGGTGCAGAGCTGAGGCTGTGGGAGACACTCTGTTTACGTTTCCATCTCCTGGTAGGTTCCACCCGGCTCTGCGGCTCCACATTGGAAGTGGGTGGGAGACAGGAGGCCAAGGTCCCTGCAGGCCTGGGTGGGAGGCTGCGTTCCCGAGCATGGGGACACACACCCACCTGGGAAGGGAGCCTGGGAGCACAGCTTTGGACTCCCAGACCAGCTCTGAGGCTCCGTGGTCTGACCACACTGGGGAGACCGAGGCCAGGGACAATCACTAACAGTTACTGGGTTCCACAGCGTGGGGGGGGTTCCAGCCTTTTGGCCACCTTTGGCTGATTCAGATGGAATAGAGCGGGAAATCCATCTCCTCACTCCTCGTGTCTCAAGAAGCTGAGAGGCTGAACAGGGCTCCGGGGCAGGGGCCTGGCCCCGACCCCTCTCCCACAGAGAACACCACAGGCTGGGGCAGTACCGCATCCTGCAGGGCACCCGGAGGTCTTGCTGAGCTGATCTGGGTGAAGAGGGTGCCCTTGGGAGCCCCCACTCTGGGTCACTGGGGCAGTGGTGCATCTGTCTTCAGTCCACTGACCATTGGGAAAGCTGGGCAGGGACAGACACCCCCTAACCCCAACCCAAGTGTCTGGAGATGCCAGGGTCATAGCAAGTTGTGATTAAAGTGACCTTGCCCTTTGCTGGGCAGCTACTTCCTCCCAGATGAAACGTCCCATCCTACAGAGAGGCTCCTTAAGCTGGAAGGTAAACAAAACAGCTTCAGGAAGTCCCTGAAACCAACCAGTTTCACTAGGTCCCTTCTTGCCAGAGTGAGCAATAAAACTGGAGGGTCCCCTCAGGAAGCCCAGCTGCTTGGAAGAGGCTCTGACCAGCTGAGGCACCTGGAAGGACACTGTCCAGCCTGTCCTGTGGCCTGTGGGCTGTGTGATACACTCCAGGTTCCCAGCTCTGTGAGCTGTCACCCAATCTGGGGTGGGCCTTGGTGACGCAGCTGTCTCCCCTCACCCAGTGACCACAGGAAAACTCATGTTCACCAAGTGGGACTTGGGTGGCGTCTGTACTTTGGTCTGCTGTGGATTGCCTACTAAGGTGAGTGGACGTGTGTGTTGTGTGTCCCCAGGGAAAGTCTTCCTTTCACACAACATTGGCACCTGAAGAGGGCCACCGCAGAACCAAGGACGAGTCGGGGAGTGCATGGTCCAGGCTGTGGGTGACAAGGCATGCTCCTGAGGCCATCAGCCTGAGTGGCAGACACCGCAGAGGAGACTCCAGTAGGGCCGTCCTTCCCTGAGTGCTGGGGGGTGACTACGTAGGTAGTGAGCGGTGGAACTGAGGCTGAGCCGCCAGGATCAGGAGTGTCCTCGGGAGGAATCCCAGCAGGGCATCTCCCTCTGTGTGGTATGTGGGGGTGACCTGCCTGATGAGTGGGGTCCTCCACAGGAATACAGAGATGCCCTGAAGACACTGACAGCTTCAGAGACCATTTTGTAGTCTTTAAGATTAGCACACAATGGTCATGCTTGGCAGCGGCAGCAGAGGATGTCAGGCTGCCATCGTGAGTACTCAGAAATGCACCTGGGGCGGGGATGGCGCCAAGCAGGAAGTTGTTTGTGTAAAAGAGCAATTGCAACAAGAAAGGGAGACAGGGCAGCATCCTCTGTGTTAGTCTTGGCTCTGGCGAGTGAATTAGATAAACTGGTGGACGAGATGGAGGCTTCTTAAGGCTCGGCAGCCAGAAGGGAAAGATCACAAGTTAGACCTGTGCTCCAAAGCCTTTCCTGGGACCCAAGACCTTGGGACCTGTGGGGAGATGCAGAGTGAGGAGGAGAACACAGCAACAGAAGACAACCTGCAGGTCCGACCTTTAATCCAAAATAAGGGAAGCATGTGACCCAGCGTGCAGATGGGGCATTAACCACGGTCCAGAAGCTATGGTGACCAGGGAACGTTGTTATCTGTGCTGCTGGAACTAGGAGAGACTTTTAAACAAGCAATGAAAGAGCCGGTGGCAGTCTGGCCGCGGGTCACGGAGCAGATGGACCACTCTGACTGCCGTGGAGACAGGGAAACTCGGTCACGTGACTTCCCCTCTCTCCTCAAGGCAAAGGCTGCATAACTTGAGACAGTGTGAGGGAATCAGTCCCTGGTGGACTGGCTTTTCAGAGCCATTAGGAACACTTGGTTATCTCTGGCTGGAGTCCCCACAAATACCAGGTGGACCACACAGGAGGGGCGGACCCTACTGAGGGAACTCGGGATAAGAGGAGCTGTGTTTGAACTGTGTTCACAGCGGAGTTAAAGAAAAGGTTGATCTCTTGGGGAGCTCAGGGCTCGTTTGCAGCTTCAGTGACTTTGCTCAGCCAGTTGGCGCGGGGACAAGATCGTTATAAAGAAGGAAAGGCTTTGACAGTTCTCAGCGACTCAGACTAGCATGTAAAGAGCATCCGTGTATTGAGAGAGCAACCTAGAGATGTGAAAATGGCCAAGCCGAGGAAGGGGTCTGTCCTGTGTCCACTGGAGTTCCTAAGGAAGAGCTGACAGGCAAACCACGCTGTGTGCTGAGGAGTCTCCAGGAGGCTCACAGACAGAACATCACGGGCGAAGACGATTAAGCTACATCCACCGCGCCAACCTGGAGCCAGTGTGACCCGGGGAGACAGCAGAGCCTCGGTCCCCTTGGCCCTGCATAGGTCTGAGTGGACTCAGTCAGGCTCCGAGTTCACCAGACATGGAGAAATGTAGGGAGGCTCCAGGACACAGAACGGCTCAGAGAACGGCGAGGTCCGTGAGCTTCTGGGGCCACCCGACACTGCTGAGAACAGATGACAGGGACTTTGATGGCATCTCACTGAGACTGTTTACTATGGGATGCTGTGGTGTCCTGCCCATCTTCAGGACACAGTCATTATACAGATGATGTAATGGCAGCCTGAGTGTCTTGCGGATTTGGAAAACCATTGGAGAGACCCCAGGTGCAATGGCGTCTGTGCCTGCCTCACAGCCCTGCTGAGGCTTAGTTAACTGGGAGGAAAAATGGTCTTAAAGAGAAGAGCCAAGAATTTAAATCCAGATGGCACCCTAGGTGGGTGGAATGGGACACTCCCCGAAGCCAGAAAGTTACTGAATGGAGACCCCTGGTGTGGAATAATCCTTTTGTACACTGTGAAGATCTGTCACTTGTATTGGTTTAATAAAAAGCTGAATGGCCAATAGCTAGGCAGGATTTTCGGGGCAGAGAGGATGCTGGAAAGGAGGGCAGAGATGTGGGGAGTCACCAGCCAGATGGAGAGGAGGCAGCATGGGCAGTACAGAGTAAAGGTAAGAAAGCCATGAGACAAAAAGTAGAGTGATTAAAAAAAAAAGTAACCTGGGTGGTGGTGGCGCACGCCTTTAATCCCAGTGCTCGGGAGGCAGAGGCAGGCGGATCTCTGTGAGTTCGAGGCCAGCCTGGTTTACAGAGTGAGATCCAGGACAGGCACCAAAACAACACAGAGAAACCCTGTCTCGAAAAACCAAAAAAAAAAAAAATAATAATAATGGTGTGTGTGTGTGTGTGTGTGTTAAATTAATAACAAGCCTAATCTCTTAGCTGAGAGTTTATAATTAAAAAGAAGCTTCCATGTGGTTATTTGGGAGCTGAGAGGACAGACAAAAGAATCCACCTACAGACCCCAGTGCCAAGGGCTCCTTCCCTGTGAGCTGTCGGCCCGGGAAGGCCCCGAGGTCCCATAAACTTAAAGGATGTGGCTGTTGCTTCTGTGCCAGGACTGGACGGTGAGACCCTGCTGCTGAGGACACCATACGCACGCACACACTGTGACTGCAGGGCATGGAGACATTTCCCTGGGACCGCCCAGGAAGTCCCCACCCTGGCAGCTGGCTTTCACAGCAGGAGGCGCTCCTGGTGGAGAACTGTCACCAACATTGCTGCTCAGCTATGGACCACGCGTGCTGAGACACCACACGCCAGGCAGGTGTCCTGGGCGAGACCAACAGCCTTCCGACTGGGTTTAAGGGCCACTCCACAGCGCGAGTTCACGCCTGGTACTGTGCACCAGGACAACACCCGCGGCTGGGGAGGTCCTAGGCCCCAACAGCAAAGCAAAATCCATGGTTTTTCTACGTAGATGTGATGTGCCTGTCAAAATGCCCTCAGTATCAGTTTCCTCTACTGAAACTTTGCATCCTGCAGGAAGCTCCTTAAGCAGGAAGGTAAACAAAACAACTTCAGGAAGTCCCTGAAACGCACCAGACTCACTAGGCCCCTCCCAGCCAGAGGAAACAGCGGGTCTTGACATCACGGCCATAGATCACCATTGTTGTCAGCCTCAAATCACCACCATCGGTGAGTGAACAGGGGACTGTTACTGTGTCATGGTCCGATTCATGGCCCTAGGTGGACATCTATGGTCACACCCCTTCCATGGCTCAGGGAACCACTGTAGAAGATTTGGGCGCAAACTGTTCCCTCCAACATTGAAGCATCTCACCCTGCGTGAAAGAACCTTAAAGATTCTTTAAATAGGAAGGTGAACAAAACAGCTTCAGGAAGTCCCTGAAACCAACCAAGTGTGTGTGTGTGTGTGTGTGTGTGTTCCACTGCTCGAGTGAACAACACAAGCTGAGGGCCTGCTCAGGAAATCAAGCTGCGTGCAAGAGGCTCAGACCAGCTGAGGCACCTCGTCCTCCAGCCTGTCCTGTGGCTGCGGAGTGTATTCTGTGTGATACACTCCAGGTTCCCAGCTCTGGGAGCCGTCACCCACGCTGGGGTGGGCCTTGGTGACGCAGCTGTCGCCCCTCACCCGTATGCCTGTCAGTGACCCCAGGAAAACACGTTCACCAAGCAGGCCTTGGTGGGGTACCTACCCGGGTTGCATGTTGAGTCTCCCCAGGAAAAGCCTCGTCACACAGCACCCTTCCCCCCTATTCCCCATTGTGGGTCGCACCTCCCCATCTCTGGGAACCCAAAATTGCTCGGCACCTCCAGCCCTGCCAGGGGTCAAGGTGACACCGAGGCCAAGACACCCGCCCCCCTAGCCCACGGTACCCCCCACCCTGTCCTCCAGGCACAGCCAAGGTCCTAAGGGTCCTTGGGGACCCAGCTTTGCCCGGCAGGCGCCGGCTCGGGCTGGCACGCGCCCCAGACCTGTCCCCTCCCGGAGGTGGGCAGCCAGTTATTTTTAGCCAGTGGAAGGAGATAAAGCTCTGGTTCTCTCTAGACTCGAGAGAGCGGCCCCACGGAGCCAGCACGCCGTGACCCAGGCTGGCCTCCACCTCGCCACCCTCCTGCCTCAGCCTCTCCAGGGCGGGCAGAACAGGCCTGCCTGACCACACGGGACGTCTTTCTGCTCTTCTCTGCTTATTCCCTAACCACCCTCTCCCTCTCTTGATTGTGTGTGTGGTGTTCTGTCCGTGTGTCTGCGCACCACGTGCGAGCCGCTCCCACGGGGGGGGGGGAGCATCTGGTCCCCTGGGTGCTGGGAGTCAAACCTGCTTCTCTGACATCTGAGCGGCACTCCAGCCCCCCCTGCAGTGTGTGTGCATGCGTGTGTGCATGTGCGCGCGCATGCATATGTGTGTGTGCATGCGTGCATGTGCGCGCATGCATATGTGTGTGTGCATGCGTGCATGTGTGTGCGTGTGCATGTGCGTGCGTGGTGCAGCAAGGCTTGGGTGGCGGCGAACTCGGCCCTGGGCCTGTCCTGTCTGTCTGTCCTCCAGCAGGCCCACCTCCCACTACTAGGCTTCCTCCCGGAAGCACGGCCTGGCCCCCCCGCGACACCCCACAGAGCGAACGCACAGGCACCACGAGGGTTCCCACACTTTATGTGAATTCAGTCCTCGAGGGTCGTGGGCGCGGCCGCTGCGCAGGCGCGCAGGGTCGGGGCGTGAGGTAGCGTCACACGCACGCGCACTCCCGCGCCGACAGCTCCTGCAGCGTGTGGTAGCGGCTGTGCACGTCCAGGAAGGAGACCTCGTCCTCGTAGGCCGTCGGGCGGCAGCAGGGGTGCGCGCGCACCCGCTCCTTGCGCACGCGCCGCCGCTGGC